CGAAAGCAGACGCTTAACCAACTGAGCCACCCAGGTAAAAAAATTAATGTTGATTACTATTACTTGAGGGGGTTTCAGGTCAGATAGAGAACAGGATGGGAGATTTTACTGTGTACTTTTAGTTTTTGGATCATGCAATTATTCAGTGTATAAGTTTAAATATGCCTAAGACTTAATAATGCAAATAGATTAAAAAAAAAACTTACTCTCAGAAGTGGCCCTGCATCACCCAGCCCATCAACTGTGACCTTCTGTACTAACTCCTTGCTTGTTCACTATGCTCTAGTCACCACTTGCCTCCCCACCTTTCGTCAAAAGGTAGAGCATGCTCTTATCTTAGGGTCACTGCACTTGATCCCAATGCCCACAATTCTCTTCCCCCACATATTCATGTCTTTGTTCAAAGATCAACTTCTCAGTAAGGCATTTCCTGACCACCTTTATTTTAAAAATAGCTAACTCTCCACCAATCAACCCACTTATACTCCATAGCTTTCCCATCTGACATATTTCTTACATTATACATTTCCCCCCACACTTTTAGAATGTTAATTCCCTAAGGGCAGAGACTGTCTCTGGTTTACTGCTATACCTCCAGCACCTAAAAAATCTCTGCATTTGAATGAGTGCAAACGTAAGTCCTTTTAGATGCACTCTACATTAGTATAAAATATAATGTTAATTGCAAGACAATACCCAGAAGATCTAACTAGATAAAATATAAAGCTTCTAAACCATAAAATACTATAAACTGACATAAGACAATGCAAAGTGATAGAAATGCTATATAAACAACTCCTATAAAAAACCCACTAGACTGGGCGCCTGGGTGGCTCAGTTGGTTAAGCGACTGCCTTCGGCTCAGGTCATGATCCTGGAGTCCCGGGATCGAGTCCCGCATCGGACTCCCTGCTCAGCGGGGAGTCTGCTTCTCTAAAAAAAAAAAAAAACTCTCATGCTCTCTCTCTCTCTCTCAAATAAATAAATAAAATCTTAAAAAAAAAAAAAAACCCACTAGACTACAAAATGGATGAACCTTGAAAACATTATGCAAAGTGAAGTAAGCCAGAAACAAAAAGACAAATATTGTATAATCCCACTTACAGGAGGTACCCACAACAGTCCAATTCATAGAGACAGAAAGTAGAACAGTGGTTACAAGGGGCTGGAGGGAGTATTGATGAGTTATTGTTTAAAGGGTACAGAGTTTCAGTTTGCAATGATGAAAGACTTCTGGAGATGATAAGTCGTGGTGATTGCACAGCAGTGCAAATGTACTTAATGCCACGGAATTGTCTATATAAAAAAGTTAAAAATGGTAATTTTGATGTTATGTATATTTATAACAATTTTTTTAAAAGCCCATTAGAAAGACATGCAAAGGAAAACAAAGCAGGAAATGTAAATGGCCAGTAATACATGTAAAAAATGTTCAGGCTTAGAGAATCACTTTTTACCCAGTCTAGAGCAATTAAAAGAACTGATAATAGCCAATAATGGTAAGACATGGAAAAATATGCAGCACAGCTGCATCTCACACCAAGGTCAAGAGAAAGCAGAATATGAAATTGCATATGGTTAATGACTTTTGAAAATCTCTGAGAAAGGGGCCAAACGGAACCAACCATTCCCATCTCTAAGCCTTGCTTATTTCCTCTGCCCTATAAAAACTAGGTGCTGTTTCTCCAAATGAGCATGCAATTAAATAGCTGGCTCTATTAAGGAGCCATGTGCCCTGAAACACTAAAATTTTATTCAAGGTCAAGAGCCTTTTATGCTTAAACACAAGGTAAGGTGATCAACGGCGGGGGTACATTTGTTCTCAAGCTCCCTTTGAGGCATAGCTATTCAGTGGACAAACAAAAATTTTTTTCCTTTTTGCTAAGCACATACTGTTATATTTCAGTAATTTAAATGTTTTTATCAAAAAGACTACACAACTTGGAGTGACTGGGTGGCTCAGTCGGTTTAAGTGTCCGACTCTTGATCTCAGCTCAGGTCTTGATGTCAGGGTGGTGAGTTCAAGCCCCACACTGCACTCTGCACTGGGCATGGAGCCTACTCAAAAAAAAAAAAGACTACACAACTCAAATATTCACAGGGCCTGGTTAAATAAATACAACAGACACCTAGAGTCATAATCCGTCTGGGTAAGGAAGCTACCTATGCAGCAGTATAGGAAGATCACCAAGACGTTAAATGACAAAGAAAAGTACATAGTTTGTTACCTTACCTTTTTTAATATTGCTGCGTTAACATTTGGTAGAGGAACTGGGTCATCATCTCCTTCATCATCCATTCCCAAATCTAAGAAAACCAGAAGAGAGCTATCATTATTTCCTATTTCTATTATAACATTTACACCAACCAGACATCTCAAATACCTTGCAAGACGTTGTCTAAAAGACCATGAAAAATCCTCTACTTAAAACAGTTCTCTTATGAGCTTTAAAATAAGCAGTTTCTAACATGAGGTCCATAAACCACCCAAAACTAAATTAAGTTGTATGAGTAGACAAATACAGGAATATTACATAAACAGAATCCTTAAGGAGGAAGAAAAGTAACTTAATAACAAGGGGGACTGAGATGACTGGAAAGCCATGTGTGTGGGGGGAGGCAATCGAAGGCAGACCCTTATCCTTACTTTTTATACCAAACTCTTTAGATGGGCAGCATTTAGAAAAACAGAATAAAAAGTATTTCAAGTAACAGAATCTCAATCTATTAAAATCCGAAGCCCAAAGATGTATATATATACACACACAACAAATCATGCAGCCACTGACAAAAATAAGGCAGGCTGCTCCAAACATACTGGGTATGATTTCAGGATTAAAGTTTTGTTTGTTTGTTTGAAGATTTTATTTGACAGAGAGAGCGAAAGCAGGAACACAAGCAGGGAGAGAGGCAGAGGGAGAAGCAGACTTCCCACCGAGCAGGGAGCCCGATGCGGGGCCTGATCCCAGCACCCTGGGATCATGACCTGAGCCGAAAGCAGACGCTTAACCAACTGAGCCACCCAGGCGCCCCTACATTTATATATTTAGATTTTAAAATATCTCCAGAAGGATACATAACGAATTGTTAACAATATTATCTATAGGGAAGTTAACAACAATGTGGGTTGAGGGACTCAATTTCAGTGTGTACCCACTATTCATCACATACATATTATCTATAATTTTGAATCTACAGGTTGTCCTAGTAAAAAGCCTAACTTCCAAATCCTCAAAGTGATCGGTTAAGTTCAAAGAAAAAACTTAAAATTAAAATCCCTGTTACTTAGGGACACCTGGGTGGCTCAGTCGGTTAAGCGTCTGCCTTTGGCTCAGGTCATGAGCCCAGGATCCTGGGATCGAGTCCCACATCGGGCTCCTTGCTCAGAGGGGAGAATGCTTCTCCCTCTGCCTGCCGCTCCCACTGCTTGTGTGCTCGCTCGCTCTCTCTGGCAAATAAATAAAATCTTTAAAACAAATAAAAATTAAAGATTCTAAATAAGAGTATTTTTCATGCCAAATGGGTCTGTCCTTCAGTTTCTACATGACTTAAAAAAGAGCTGCCCAAAGTTATTTAACAGTTAGCAAGTACCAGTATTAGAGGCCGTAAGTTACTTCAGCTCTACATTGGTTATAGCTGAGTATCAGTTATGCTGACATGGCCAGTGTTGAGTCAAACCATTTGAGTTCCGATGTGTAACAGGTGTCCCAGGCAATGGAGAGTCAGCAACGAATACCGGAGGACAGAAAAGAATTGTTGCAATTTTAGACAGAACTGCTCAAGATGTCTCACTGACAAGATGACGCTATAGTATAATCGTAAAGGAGAGAGAACACCTACGCAGTGGAAATGACAAATGCAAAGGCCTTCTGATAGGACGGTCTGGAATGTCCTAATAACACGAAAGCCATCTAGTGTTACTAGAGCATGGTTAGCAAGGGCAAAAGGAGTAGATGAGACCAGTGACGGGGACCTGACGGTAACAGGGTCTCAAACATTTTAGCTACTGTATCGGGAAGAGATGGTCGAGAGCAGCAGGGAAAAGAAGGAAATCAACTATGGGGCTGGCAATAATCCAAGCACAAGATGGTGGCTTATACAGGTTTACAGCTATGGAAGAAGAAATGATCCAATTCTGGACGCATTTCAATGGTAGAGGCAAAAAGATTTGCCAACGGATGGCAAGTACAATGTGAGTCAGGGAAGACTAAGGGTTACGACATAAACAACTAGAGGGATGAAGCTGCCACTGCAGGTGCCATCAACTGATATGGGGAAGGCTGTCAGAGAACTGTTATTGTGAAGGGCTGGGAATTAAGAACTCTAGTTTCCTAAGTCTGAGGTGCCTATTAGAGATGCAAGGATAGACCAAGCAGTTAAATTATGCCAAGTCGAAACATCAAAAGAGATGAGAATTATGGATAGTTTGGGGGATTGGTGTATAGATGGCTTATAACACTATCAGACTAAGTGAGATGACCAAGGGAATGAAGGAGTATAAATATGATGAAAAGGTTCAATGATTAACCCAGCCCTTGAATTACAAGCATTAAAGATGAGAAGACAAAAAGCTGTGAGTAAGTAGTAACTAAAGTATCCTGGAAGTGGAATGTAGAAGGGGATGATCAAATGGTGTCAACTGGTCTAGATGAGAGTCAAACATAAAACGACGCACTTGACAACATGGCAGTCCCTGAGCTTAACAAGCAGTTTCACTGGAGTGGTAAAGATTAGATTCAAGAAGTATCTTATTTTCCTGTAGAGATGGATCACTCATTTCCCCTCCTCCTTTCTACTAATGTTGCTCCCTGATCCCATCTCCATCTAGAGTAAAACTATAAAAATGACTGTGTCAATTTGGACTAAGCCACTTTTGCTTCTCCTGTATTAGTATGAAGTACTCTTCATCAGAGGGGAGAAAACGAAGTCACACTATATAAAATACTTGTGTTTGGGGAACCAAGATAGTACAGAAAACATAACAGAAAAGACCAACTAGTTTAGATCCAAACATTATTTGGAAGAAGGCTTAAGTCGTATTAAAAAGAAGGGCCTTACAGTTGTAAAAGATCACTTCTCTAGCATTTAAACTAAGGATGTACAATGTCTTTTCTACTTTTACACTGAATGTACAAGGATCAACAGTCATTCCTTTAAGCTATTTAGTTTCAAGGACTTCTGAAAGACAACCGTATCCTGATACCACAACCTGGACTTGAACAAATCAGTCAATCCACATGTACACATGCCAAGATTTTCACTTCTGATTATCCTGTGATTAGGTTTTATTTTTGTTTTCTAAGTCACAAAAAACCCATTATCAAAGATACTGCAGATGCAAAACAAGAAAAGCAGTAAGTTGCCAAATTCAATAGACTCCAATCCTGAACCGGATAGAATTCTATATAAACCACTGGTACTTAAAACCATTCACCTCTGATACCCAAAGGCTATGGAAGAAAAGAATCATTTAACTGTTGCTGTCTAACACGCCCCTTGCTTCAGTGATCAAAGGAGGCGTGGAAAATCTTCACAGAGCCCTATGTTCTTACACTGGCAAACGCTTCTTTGAAGCAGCACAGGACAGATTAGTGTGCCAGATACCAACTAAGATGAAATAAAGAACACTTCCATTGTCAAAGCAAGTATTCAGGCAGCAAATTTTGGTATCAGTTTCTACATCTTCTAGATAAGGCCTTACTCACCTGCCTTTAGGGACACTTGGATTGCTTTCACACTCTTTATTAGTGACCATACCATAGTTCTTCATTCAACAGGTACTTGATGAACAGTGACTGTGGGATGTACCAAGGGGTTTACAACTTAATAGGAGTGATCTATTTATTTAAGTTACCAGGATACAAGACTGTAAGTGCCATATGATTGGTACTAATTACCAAAAAACAGTTACATGTTCAGCTTTTATCAGCAAACAGAAGTCACCAGCTTAGAAAAGACACACCCTCTGCAATTTAGCTTTTGCCTCTACCACACCTAATAAATGCCATTAAGAAATCCTCTAACTTACTATGAAATTCCAAATGACCACCGTGCAGTATATGAATGTGATAATCATTCTGGTCACCTCAAAATGCCTCCCTCTTCCCTTGGCTTCCACAAATCTTACTCCACCGATTCTCCACTTCTGACTTCTACTCGAGAAACACCACCTGCCTCCCATTCCAATATGGCTGACTGCCAACCTCATTTACTCCCATAGATAAATACTCCTATAATCCACCACACAAAGTCTATGTTATCTCCAGCAGTCCACAGCTCAGAGGCCAAGATCCACATACTCAACTGCCTAGTAGACTTTTTTTTAAATCTTCTGGGTGGGGGATCAAACATACCTAACATGGTTACCTCAAAGTCATTTTTTTTCCCATTTCTCTCAAACCCATTCTTCAGTTCTACCAACTACAATTAACACAATCTCATTCCATACCAATAAACCCCAACCAAAAACCTCAACTCTACTTTTCTCTAACACATCTTGTCCACTCTACCTCAGAATAATCTCCGAAAAGACCCTAATTTTACTAGATTTGAAATTATCACCTCATTAGTACTACCCACTGTAGTCTCTCCACAAGCTTGAAAAATAACATCAGCCAAGACGTTCCCCCAGCACCACTCAGCACACTATACTAACACACTAATTACACCATGTGACAGTCTTGTCTTCTTTGGTGTCTTTCTCCCTTCCTAGTTTATAAATTCTTTAAGAGCAAGGACTATTTCCCACTTATCTTCCTTTAACCCCACAACTAGTGCTTGGCACATAACTTTTCACTTAAGCATAAGCTACATAAAAACCTTTTATATTTGAATACTAAAGAACAGTCTTATTACTGTTAATTTTTTTCACCAATGCTAAAAATTGAATTGTAATGTCTCCATATACTATTAATGTCTGTCAGCCCACTGGTTAATATTAAGATTGATTTTAACTAAAGTTTCAAAATGTTTCAGGACCTGTTTTCTAACCTTATTTCTTCAATGTGCCATGTATATGCTTTGCAGCAGTTTCAGAGGAATGACAAAATGGACAAAATGGAAAACTTGGTTAAAAAAAAAAAAGACATCTCAGTTTACCATCTACTCAGCTTACTTCTCTGTTGAGACAAAGCACTGTATTTAGATACCATATAGGAAGGTCTCTCTTTTTCAGAGCCTTTTATTTTTCTCATTAGACACTGCGAATCCATATTCACTTGAAACAGAATTGGGTCATTGTCTGATGCTTAGAAATCACTTCAGTATTAGCTTATGGTCTTATCTATATGAAAAAAGTCCATTAATTCAAACAATGCAGAAAGGATGTCCTCTATCAGAAAGGTGCAGTTAATTCTTTCATTTAAAAAATGTAAACATGACCCCTTCATACTCTTGAGCATTTAGTGACAAATTGTGATGACTTGTATAAATTCAATGTTCACAGGTTATCTCCAACTAAATATTACTTCCTCTCTCCTCTGACCCAGGTTTTCTAATAAACTTACCTTCCAACATGGTCTTGATAGTCACAGACTGTTTGGCAATTTCAACATCAACCTCAAATATCTCTCCATCGGAACTCTGCAACTTAATTGAAGGCATCTAAAAAAAGGTATTATATTGAATTTGAAATTTAAGAGAGATTAGTTTTATACATTTCATAAACTAGTCTGTTCTTAGAAGACCTCTAACTTATTACCTATAAAATCCTAAGGCCATGTAGTATTTTTATAACCCTGTAAAACACTGCAAATGGTTATTCACAGGCTAGCATAGAAATGTTGCTGTCAATTTTTTCAAAGTATAACTCCTAGGAACACAAGTTTTTAAGGCTTGCCCTACTGAACTTATTACTGGTATAAATTTAAGAGTTACATCCTATATTTTTAATGCAAAATATATTTAAAATAAACTTATTTAGTCTCTGCCTGCATTTCATTTTTAAGATATATTTATTTTAAAAAGAGCAGGAAAGCGAGACCACGTGTGCGCACACACATACGCACGTTGGGGAGGGGCAGAGGGAGAGAGAATCTTAAGCAGACTCCGTGCGGAGCATGGAGCCCCATGTGGGGCTTGATCCCATGACCTTGAGATCATGGCTGGAGCCAAAACCAAGAGTCGGAGGCTTAACGGACTGCATCACCCAGGCACCCCTTTGCCTGCCTTTCTGCTTTCACTAAATACTGACTACTCTCATCTGAATAGTTAGCTGCCACAGTAAACCTCCTGCAAACCAGAGGGTAGTCAGTCCAAAATAAAGCTACAAAATATAAGATATAAATTTTCCAATACTGAGATTTACCAGTGAAAAATGAGTTGTGATCCAAAGAATGTATGAGAATATTCTTATTTTATGTTTGCATCAATGTAAAATATATAAGATAATAATATCTTTAAGGATAAACAAATGTCCATCCAATCTGCTAAACCAAATAAGGTACTTAAATTTAACAGTCCTCGGGCGCCTGGGTGGCTCAGTCGGTTAAGCGGCGGCTGCCTTCGGCTCAGGTCATGATCCCAGGGTCCCGGGATCAAGCCCCGCATCGGGTTCCTTGCTCAGCAGAGAGCCTGTTTCTCCCTCTCCCTCTCTCTCTGCCTGCCTGCCACTCCCCCTGCTTGTGCTCTCTCTCTCTCACTGTCTCTCTCTCTCTGTGTCAAATAAATAAAATCTTAAAAAAATAAAAAGTAAATTTAACAGTCCTTTTTATCTTTCATTACTGACTGTCCAGGTGCCCAAGTTTGAGTTCTGCTAAAATTCTCATAGAAATTATGTGTTTCTTGCTTCAAAAACGTATTTACTAACTCAGATTAATTCCGAGTCATTGGGAAAAAGGTACCTCTTAGATAAAAATTAGTTAAGCAATTAACTACAAAGGACCTGAGTTCTAGCAAAAACCAAAAAAACACTTCTTTAAAATTAAAAGTTCTAAGCCATCAATTTATCTTCAGATTCTTGAGGGAAGGAGGAAGGGCAGCCAATACCTGACTTTAACGATTACTTCATGATCCCTTCAAATATCAAATATAGATTTTAAAGGCCCATGCATGCTTCTCAGGTATTCATAATCCTGCAATGTCACTATTAACTCGAGAGTGTAGAATTTGGCATTTAAAACATTCACTGCACCTATTTTAGGATCAAAGCCTCCATTAAATCAGTTAAAATATTCATTCTGCTTTTCTTAGGCAGTTATCTCCATTCCCCAAATAAGCTGTTAGAGAAAGGAAGCAAAAAGGTACAGCTATGTTTTAAAATCAGCCACTGAAATATCCTGTCACTCATCCATGGTTGGAGAGATTCAGATTTCACTTTTCAGTTCACAAATATGTCTGTTCCTCCATGTTGCTTAGTGCTTGCCAATAATGCAGTTGTCCTATTCAATGGAGAAGGGCCAGAGCAGAGGACCCTCCCTGTGACAAGGCAGTAACAAAAGGTATCTCCCAAAGAAATATTTTAACATGAACCCAATTTTTAATTACAAAACATTCTATGTTCTTTTTATATTCCATAGTACTGGAATGACTACAGAAAGACAAGTCTGGCAATATAGTTGATAAAATTACTTTTAAGCACGATGACCATTTCACACTTCTTTCAAATAACTCATGGTAAATAACCACATCTGCTTAGTCACAGTCAAATTCCTGTATTAAGTTACTCTTTAGGGAGTTGAGATCTCATTAAATAAGCAGGGAGGCAATGGGTTAATCTGTAATTGAATGCACTTTGTGATCCCAAACTTAATACTCAAAGAGAAGTTTCTTTTAATGTTATAGAGCTAGAATTCAGTGCAAAACTGTAATGATAATGAACGAGATTTTGATTTGACATGCTTTCAGGACAATTCCTTAAGTTCCTTATCTTGAAAATCAATCACCCTCCATGACTAGCATGAGGAAGATTCTATCAACAACGTAAAGAAAAACCTGTTTCCAGTGACCCGAAATCTGACACCTTTTTGAAAGCAGAATGGACAAGTCTGCATTGCTCTACGACACAGACACATTCTATTGCGAGGCTCTGATGAAAAATTCATGACCCCAAAAGCCAAACCTGAGATCTTTATCCAGGTGAACCTCCAATTCCTGTAAAACTTAAAGTGTCTGCCTTTGAAAGAGTTGGGCCTCCTAAAAGTCACGCCACTACGATAAGAACATCTGCTATTTCAACAGTTGTTTCACCAACTCCAAGCTATGGCAAAATAATGGAGAGAGCAATTCTGAAGGAGCAGGCAGCCTGCTGGGCAAACATGCGGCCCAAGCACAGTTAGCCAGGACCGGTGACTAGTGACGCCAGATAAAATGAAGAGAAAGGATGGGAGCGAAAAATCCAGCGCTCCCGGACTCCCACCGCCACGCTCCTTCCGGACACCGAAACAACACGCACACACGCCCACGCTCACGACAGCCTAGGGACCTCCACTGAAAGCCCCGCCGCCACCCCCGCCCTGGGTCCCCGAGGCCGGCAGGCTCAGGGCCAAGGGAGGCTCCGGGCCGCAGCCTGGGCCTTGCAACCGAGCTCCGCGCAGGCGGACACTCGCCCCGTGCGAAAAAGGACCAATTCCCGACCTGGCTCGCACCTTCTCCAGCCCGCCCTCCCGCCCCGGCGCCCACGAGGCGCCGTGAGGACGCGCGGCCAGGAGAGGGGCCCGCCGGCACCTCCCGAGAACAGGGTCCGCAACGGGTTCCACTGGGCCTGAGGGAGGCCAGGCCCAGGTGCCTCCCGCCTCCGGCAGGCCAAAGCCGCAATCGTGCGGCCACCCAGCTGGCAATCCACGGCGCCACCGCCCCCTCCCGCTCGGTCGGCGGCCACTCACGGTGCTCGGTCTCAGGCAGACTGCGGGCTGTAGGCTAACAAGAACAGAGCGGCCCCAGATAAGAAAAAAGAAAGGCGGAGAACAAGGCCACTACGGCGGCGCGGCGCGGCGTCGGCCTTTATAGGAGCGGGCGCAGGCGCAGAGGACCCCGGGGCCCGTGGCGTCACAGAGCCGGCGGGGCTGGCCGCCGAGATCGCCTGACGCAGGCGGAGGACGGGGGGCGAACAGGCGGCCGGCGCGACGGCGCGGGGGCGGGGCTTCGTTCTTACCCCCACCTGCCCCCCGTGCCCCACCCGCCCCACCCCCGCAAGCGCGTTTCGCTGTCCTGAAAGCAGGAACGCGGGACTGGCTGGGGTACTCCGCAGCCTGCAAGGGTCCTTCAGGCAGGGGCTGGCCTAAGCCGAATTAAAGACCCCAGCCCTGAAAAGCCTAGAAACTGCGAGTGGGTGTGTGGCGCGGAGGGGTTAGTGTTGGGGAGGGGCTGTAGCTCTCCTTTCATGACCGGGGAAGGGGGCCCGGAAGAAGAATGACAGATGGGCAATGGCAGTCACCGCTCTGAGATTCCTCTCGGGGCCTCGGTGACATCCCCTCGGCCCAGCATGCGTTAGCTCACTGTCCACAATAAGCCATGAGGTGAAGTGTTGTCCTTTCCCAGCTTTATACCTCAGAACAGAGTCAGAACAACACAGTGTAGTGCTCTTCAGCCTTGTTTCCTACCGTTGTTTTCTGAAGAGGCCTCCAGGCCACAAGAACCATTGTTGCAGCAAAACCCCAAGTCTGGAAAGGTCTCTCTAGCAGCGAAAATCCATTCACTCAGCAGTCGTGTACTGAGTATCGAGTACTGAGTACTGAGCAAACGTGTGTGTGAGGCAGTGCTGCGGGATTCTGGGGGGAACCAGGCAGCCAGGGTGCAGCGTGCACAGAACTCTTGCATGGGATGCTCCCTGAAGTCGGCTGGGTCCATGGGATGAAGCCAACGCTAAAGGAGAGGGGTTAGGGTTTGTGGCAAAACACTGCCCCCCCCCCCAGCCCCATGCCATCCAGTCAGGGCCTCTCTGTGGGACTCCACCCTATTGCTGCTGGGTGAACATTGCCACCCCTCCCTAGGAGACTGAGGCGCCTGTCTCACCTAACCCCCAGGCATGTGATGGGATTCCTGACGCCAGGGAGACAAAAGACACTTCCACACAGGGCCCCCTAAAGAAACCAGAGGCCTGCAGCTCTTCTGGGATGGGACTGCGCAGAGAGGCCAAGCAGCTTCTTGGGTTACCAGGTCTTTGTCTACAAGCTGTGGTATCCAGTGTCTGTCAGGTGCAGCAGCTGATGGCAAGGAGATGAAAGGACCTACAGCTCTCATACTTTTTTTCCCACAACACAGCCCTGCCCTCTGCAGCTCAGGACTCAGGTCCCCTAGGCAAGGCCCACTGCAACCCCTTTGCTCCCTTGCCCGTGGCATACAAGGTAGCACCTTGCAAACTCTTGTTAAACATCCTGAGCAGGAAGGACTGAGGAATGCCGGGTCACACACCCAGCCTGAGGACCCAGCATGAAGAATGGTAGTTTTCCAAATATGTCTGGGGACCCCCCAATGTTAGAATCGCCAAGAGATGCTTGTTTTTAAAATGCAGATTTCATTTATTCATATATACTCTTATATTCATAGATTATCTCAGGAAAGATACACAAGAAATTGTTCACCTCATGGGGAAAGGGACTAGGTGACTGGGGTACAGGGGTTGGGGTGATTTGTTCACTTTATGCCCTTTTCTACCTTTTGGATTTCGAGCCATATGAATATATTACATATTCAAAAATGTTCTACTTAGGGGCGCCTGGGTGGCTCAGTCAGTTAAGCGTCTGCCTTTGGCTCAGGTCATGATTCCAGGGCCCTGGGATGGAGTCCCACATGGGGCTCCCTGCTCAATGGGGAGCCTTCTTCTCCCTCTGCCTCTGCTGCTCCCCGTACTTGTGCTCTCTCACTATGTCTGTCAAATGAATAAATTCTTTAAAAAAAAAATGTTTTACTTGAAAAAATAATTGGCATCAAGTCAAGAAAAATGCAGATTCCTGGGTCCACCCTTGATCTAATGAATCTGATGCCCTGGCGGCAGATTTTTCTGCCTTTTAAACAAGCTCTCCAAGTGATTCTTCAGCCCAGGGTAATTGAGAAACCTCTGTAGTAGGGTCTCAGTGATGAATTGCTGCTAAGAGGGGGCCAGCAGTATCTGTCAAAGGTGACTCATTTAGCCCCACACTTTCTAAATCAGCCCTCCGTCCTTCAAACTCTCCTCTCAGGATGGACGAGACTGTTACAGGACTGTCGGGTGCAGGCTGGTGACCACTCATCCCCACTCATTTATCCATAATCACCAGCCCAGGTCAGGAAGGACCGGCCCCCATAGAGTCCCCTTGGTGAGTAAGAGTGGGAGGAAAGGGGGGTTCTTCTGGCTTCAAAACTGGCAGTGTAATCAAAGCTCTTTGTTCTACAGAGGAAGGAAATAAAATCAAAGAGAAGAGACATTCCCACTGTCACACAGCCACTGTGGAACAAGGTTGAGCCTCCAGCCCCAGTTATATTGCTGCCACCACAGCCCAGGTACTGAATTTTAGCTACATCCCTCAAATGCCAGGAATATTTTCTGATTTACTACGGTTTCCAGCATACTACTTGCAGGGAAGCTAAAGGGCTCGCATTCAAGTCCAGGTGGGAAAATCTGCTCTTTATGGTGAATTCATTTCCAGAGATTATCTCCCTTTGTAAATTGAGTTTCACTGTTGTTCAAGTGTTCACCGGAGATCTCCTATGAGGACTAGCTCTCTCAGTGCATCTAAAATGGGACTTTGTTGCCCAAAAGTCAGTTCACACTCCCTTTGTCAGGCACATACCCATGGGACAGACTGAACTCTGGAGGTGTGTTCCAGCCCGTAGGACAGCATGTAAGCTAAAAAGTAATCCAGTCCCCACAAGATCTCTGACCTTCCTTCTTCCTTTTTCCAAACTCTAAGCCTTCCATCTAAAAATCAGACCACCTTATTACTCCAGAAGAGAGAGCGCTGAATGCAAAAAAAAAAAAAAAGTCAAATTTTTTTTTCTTGATTTGCAAAATGAACTCTTAGAATAAATCGACTCTTTAGAGCAAGAAGGTTTTTTTGGAGCACTGAAAGCCCAGGAGCTGAAGGACTCAAATCTTGAATTGTATACCAGCAACAGCAGAGTTAGGAAAAAGAAAGTATGATGACACCAGAACCAATTTTCCAAAAGGATAGGGGTCGGGGGAAAATTGCAGCAAAGAGAGCATTGCAGTTAGCTACTGGGGTGGGTCTCTGAGAAAGGACTCTCTCCCACCCCTTTCCCCCATCCTCTCTGCACAGGGATAGGAAGAGCTTAGGAACCCCAGAAAGTTTTGCGGGCTCTGAGAGCAGAGAGAATCTATGCCTTGGTCTGTGAGAAAGGTCTAAAGTCTTCCATGATGAGAAAATACGGATCAGTTAAGTAGAAATAGCAGCTGGGTGTGCCTAGGCAGGTAGGCCTGAAAGTGTCTCAGGCTCATGCCTAATGTGTAGGGACCCCAGAGACCCTATAAATGTGTTCTGAAGCCCTAAAACAGCATGGAAGTTGCTCAAAGTGGGAATAGATGACCAGGAAGGGGCTTGTGCGATGTAATCAAAGGAACTTAGGTGACCCTAGATGAACCTACGCTGTCCAAGCCAGAAGCCATGCCACAACACAGCAGAAACCAAGGATGACAAGTCACAACCAGCCAGGGTGGGGTGTGCCTGCCTCCCTGAGCAGTACAGGAGATGGATGATGACCAATGACCAGACAACCTCCAACCCTCACCACCCACTCCATGCCATGACCACATAAGCGCTGCAGGATGGAGCTCTGACCCTAGACAGAAGAGGGACTAGAACCCTCAATGTGACTGAGTGTACCCCTGAAATGCCTGAATGATCATACACTCACTTGACTGACTGTGCCAGGAAGTAAGCACATTGAATTTCTGCTATCAAATGGAATAGATGGACAGAAAGTAAGAAAATAAAAGACCTATCGTTTTGGCATACCCACATTTTCTGACTTTAAAATTACATACGGCCCCCACAGGTCACAAGGATCCCGCAGACCTGCTGCTGCCCGCTTGTCACCCACATCCTGTGTCGTGAGGGTGGGGTCTGTGGCTTCCTCTTTGTAGCCTCAGTCTTCTTATCTGTAGGATGGGGCTTATAGCAGTACCTGCCTCACAGGATTGTTGTGAAAATTATTTTAGTCACCAGGAGGGCCAAACTTAATAGCTTTGCCATACCAAGTGTTGGCAAGGACGAACAATTGCAAGTCTCCCACGTAGCTGGTGGGAGTGCAGGCTGGCACACCAGAACACTGGCAGTATCTACTAAAGCTAAACATACATATACCCAATGGCTCAGTAATGCCAATCACGGACAAATGCCCAACAGGAATACGTTCTAATGTCCACCAAAATATATGTTTAAGAATGTTCACAGCAAATCCATCAACTGTAAATGAAAAAATAACCTCGTATATTCCCCCAGTGGAAGAGTAAACAGCACAGAAAAAGAAACTACTGACCTCCACAACGGCATGGACGAATCTCACAGACATAATGTTGAACAAAAGAAGCTTGCTGCAGGAGTACTTACTGTGTGAGTCTGCTGAAATGAAGACTGAAAACAGGCAAAAACTAATTTAGAGAAGATAGCAGAGTAGTTACCTTTAGCAGATGAGGGAAGCTTCTGCAATGCTAGAAATTCTCTGACCTTGATCCAGGTGATAGTTCCATGAGTGTGTGCATATATAAAAATTCACCAAGCAGTACTCATATTTGTGTACTGCATACGAGTAATAGATCAAGTTTTTAAAAATGGGGGGAGGGGCATACAATGTGACAATGTATTGTTGCATGCTTAGCATGGTGCCAGTGTCAATTCCTCAAGGAACTTTGGGCCCCTGTAGCCTCTTCTTTCACATGGTTGCCCAACCGTTCACAGCCAAGGCTGG